TAGGCAGCCGTTGGAGAGAATATTTGCATTCATGCCTTGCCGTTACATATTCATCAATGGTCCTCTTTATTGCCATTTATGAGGGGCTTGATCCTAGGATCTTGTTTCCCTAGGTATAACTATAAATAGTAGACTCAACAGCCATTGTAGGACACGAAACTCTTGGCAAAACTTATGCTATATTCTACTCTCAAGCTAAATCATATAACTTTATTTGTTGTTTATAGTGTTCTTATTTCTGTCTTTGGAGGCATTGAAGCTAAAGTTCGTCCTTAATTACACAAACTTACTCAGCCTATGATTCATTATTTTTATATGGACCAATTTCTTTCAAATAAAACTCATAAAATATCCATTAACCCAGCTGCTATTAGCTAGAATAGCTCAACACCATTGGACAATGGGTGTTGATAGATTTGACGAGAACATTTGGTCGGTGCTGACAGTGTATAACATTAGCGGGTTATAAGCTTATTTTTATTAACGCTCGTATCTCGAGATATTAAACTAAAATTAACATGACTAAAAAAAAACTTTCTACACCGGCTATGGACGTTTAGATTAATATCTCTACTCTTGCAAGATTAATATCTTTGGTCTGGAGAATTAAACAAATCACGGTCCTTTGATAAAATAAACAATCAGATAGGCAAAGCATATGCTAAGAAGATCAAATTGTATCTTTCTTGGGGTGTCAATTTTTTTAAAATAACTAATTAAATTTATTTCTTTTTCTTTTTCTCCTTCTCCTCCTTCCTGTTCTTCTACTTAACTCTTAGTACTACAAAACTATCAAAAGCAAGCTTTTTTTAAAAAAAGAAAGAAAGAGCAGACCAGCCCACTGAATTTTGAAGAAAATGGAATAAAGAAATAAAGCTCCTTGTGAGTTAGAGCTCAGTCCTCGCTGTCTATTGGATCAAAATCATGTGCTCTCTCCCAAAAGGTCGCTGAGCCTTCTTATTTTCCACTTAAATTAATCCCAGTTTATTTTAGTCCTCACATTTAGTTAAAAAATATTAGTTGTTCTCTTTGTCCTTCTCCCTCTTTCTCTCTCTTTTATTTCATAATGATATCCCTACACATGAAATAGAACCTCTTAGAAGCTTACAAATTTTAATATTAAGAAGAAAGAACGTTACCTTGTATTATAATAATGGACTTTGGATTGGTAAAAAGAAAGGTGGTCCGAATGGTCATTTAACAGTGCACTACCGCTAGCGGTTATACTTTCGTAAGTGACGTAAGTTTTACTTGCACATACAACAATAATAACAAGTTCAGTAGAGTTCCACTAATATGGTCCTAGAGTTCCACTAATATGGTCCGGGCAAATTAGTGTGTACGATATCCTGGAGAGAGACTTACTTGCACATACAAAGTTTTATTTTGATGAGAAGTCCAGCCAACTTACTATTTCTAGTAGACTAATCTAATGTTAATTAAGTTATTTCCATAACTGAAGAATGAAGTGCTTGATATCGTTTCATTTGCATTTTATTAATCAACGATGCTTTCTTTCAATGAGGATACCTAAGCTTGATTTGTAATTTCATTACATGGTGATTAATATAATGTTTAGTTACCCCAAAAAAAATCTTTCAAAGTTGGAGTTTGAAGGGGGAAAAACTAACTAAAAAACGGAATTTTCATAAATTTGTTTCATCAAGCCCCGATCGAAGTATAAAAATGTCGAGTGTTATTGTGTCCAAGCTCATTGAAAAATTGTCAAAATAGCACGTACTAGCCATTTTTCGGATTGTAATCGAAAAATAACTAGCGTTTGCGAAGTCATTAGAAAATAGTCATTATTTTGCTAAAACACGAAAAGTTCCAGCATAATATGCAGTACTCCCTCTGTTTCAATTTATGTGAACCCATTTGACTGGGCACGGAGTTTAAGAAAAGAGAGAAGACTTTTGATCTTGTGGTCTAAAATGAGGCACATATATTATGTGTGGCTATAAATCTTTGTGTAAAGGTAAATTATTTCCAAATAAGGAAAGGGGTCATTCTTTTTGGCACGGACTAAAAAGGAAATAGATTCACATAAATTGAAACGGAGGGAGTATTATGAAGCTCCCGCGTATAAGCATATTAGTATGTTGGAACTCCTGGACACGAAAAGTTCCAGCATAATATGCGAAATTATGGAGCTCCTACATATGAACTTCCAGCATATTGATGAAACTCCAACACATTATACAATTTTAGCATATTATGCTGAAAGCTCTTACGTGAAAAATTCGAAGTCCAATATATTATCCTGGAATATTTCCGGATTTTAACAGTATTTTTGTTCAAATTTTATTTCTACATGAAAAATGACTAAATTTTGATTACTTTTGAAACTATGACTATTTTTCAATTGCCAGTTATAAATCTGGCTATTTTTGAATTTCACTCCTCATAAAAATTTCCTTCTGCCAAAACTCCAAATTACACGTTTGGGCATCAATATTCAACCGTCCATATACTATATATGACCAAATCTATCTTGAAACACCTGAACAATAGGGGATGGAAAAGACAAATACATTATTTCCTGTCGATAGAATCTCATTCCATACAACTATTGGATGCTTTACAAGCATGTGTTCATGTAAAATCATGTCAAGTACATATTTGTAAAAAAATAATAATAAAGTAAATTTTAGCTGAAAAATATTACAGAAATGCAAGTACTAAACAGACAGACCACGTTAATGTGCACATAGTCTCCTCAGCTATTTAGTTAAAAGAGAACAAAAACGACTTCGTATGTATTGCACAGTACTCAATCAAAATATAATACAGGTAGACAAGTCATGAAAACGATAAAAATGTGTACTTGAGATACAAAAACCATACTTTCATAAGATTCCTTTAATTTGGTCTTTTTCTTCCTCTTCGGAGGGCATAGGCACCTTGGTTCAAGAGGTGTCACGTGATACCGCTTCGTCGTAATTTTTTCTTAATTAATCTATATCTATAAATAATAAGTAAAATTAAAATATTGAGGATAAATATATAAAAAACGCCTTGCCATTATAATAATTTATTCATTTGTTCATTTTTTAAATATTGACATTGCTTACGAAAATTCATGCACTACCTCTTAGAATCAGCTAAATTAAAGGAAGCATATTCATGAATAATAGGCTACAGAAGCTTATGTTTTAAACTACAAATGAAGCTTCCTTGGGGGGAAAAGAGTGAAACTTTCCTATTAGGTCTCTGCTAGTTTTTTACCACGCAAATTAAATCACATTGAGAGAATATGACACAAGTAGCAATTGGGAGATTAAGAAGGGATATGTATTAACAGAATGTATTTAAGGTATATACCATGATAATGTAAAGAAAATTTTCACTATTAATGTAATTTAACACAGCTGTCAGTGTAGTTTATAACAGGTAGTGCAATCTAATTTTCAGGTTATGCTTGCAGTGAAAACTTATCTATTGTTCAACTTAAAATATTATACAGGGTAAAACATATTGTATTTAATAAGAAGGTATTGAACTAGTCGTTTAATTTGTTCAAAGTTGCTTTAAAATTTAGTTTACATCTCGTCGCCTTAGAAAAGAGTAGAGAATATTGTACAAAGTAGATATATGAATACATATATAATCGGTTTTATCGTCAATTACAAATGTTCTTAGATCTAGTTATACGACTCTTTTCACAAAAAATCGGCAATATAATTTGGAAGATGAATAAATAAAATATGGAAGACCTTTATATAGTCGTTTTTCTACAGATTTAATTGTAATTGGTCGTCATTAGAGATCAATTCCTTCATCAATGTTATATTTATGCTTGGATTTCTTGAATATGAGTGCACCACTTAAAAAAAGAAAAAAATACTAAGTGAAAATTGATCCATATTCCTGTAGGTAAATAAACCAATATTCAACCAAGTGCATCCTTTAGTGCTTTTGGAGCATGAGTGATGCATGCCAACAGATAATATTTGACTAATTCTAAAAAATACGTATATAAAATAACTAATTTGAGGGAAAGACCATCGATTCTCGTGCCCCTGATTTGGGCTATAAATCCACCCCTACTTATGCGACGTAGTAATATATGAGATGGACCATCTACAAAATATCTAACACATTTATTTATAAAGGTAAATAGAAAAGCCAAGCTATTGAATAAACTTCTTAAAAGAGCGTAACTGAAAATGTAAAAGAAATATAGGTGTAGCAGAACTCGGAAGTTGCAGCAGATCAGTTACTGGACAAAAAAAGCTGTTAAACAGGAAAGCTAAATTGATCTGTCAAAGTTCGTAGATAATATACTGGGGCCGAGAATCAGATATGGATTCATCCCCTTTATAACCGCTCATGAATCATAACCTCATGACTATACTACAAACCTATAATATGTCGGTAATTGCATATATTCTATCGAATAACATTAATTAATAATCTAGATTAAATGACAGTTATAATAAATTAAATTACACCGATACTGATGAAATAATAATCTCAGCAAGAGAGTCGTCGAGAAGCAACGCTTATTTTTGCTTTTCTTGACGTGTTGTTTATATGCTTTCGGCTTTCCGTTTGAGGAAAATATATACATATCTCTGCATGCAATGTGAATCATATCCTTGACTGGTCAACTCCCCCATCTTCTCCAATCTTTCTTAATTTCCTCTTCCTCTTTGACTACGATACTAGAAGTCGAGTTTGGAAAACTTCCCTCAATTTTATTTCACATTTTAATAAAAGATTTACTTTGCCGATATCTTGATTAAGTTCTCTTTTTCTCTACACACACAAAAATAAAAATAAAAATCACATTAGTGCATAAATGCAATAAAATAACACGGTGTCTTACGTGTAGTTTCTGACGCTCGCCCACTGAATAGAACAGTGGTGCACCCTACTCCGATGGGAGGGTGGGTAGGAGATGAAAGCTCGTTGTAAAGCCCATTTGAGATCTGGTCTAATTAATTGGCAACTCAAGGAATTAAGAATTTCATGTAGAAGGGGATATCTCCCGAAAGTTGATATTTTCTTCTATCTCCCAAAACCCTATTTAAAGACAAACTAAGCCCACTTCTTTCTCCAATCTAATTGTCTTCTTCACTATTTGTGTTCTTATGCATTAGTCTTGATCTCTTTCATTCCTCTTTAATTAATTCATCTTCTCCATATTAAAGCACCATTATATTTTCTCACTCGATCTCCATAAGGTTGTTCTCCGCATTGCACACTCAAGACTCAAACTGCCCTATATCATCACTAGCTGTATTAATATTTTTTCAGAAACATATTTTAGAAAGTGTTTGAAAAATGTCAAGCAGAAGATCATCACGCTCAAGACATTCAGGAGTTTCTTCAAGGATATCTGAAGACCAGATAAATGATCTTGTTTCCAAGTTGCAGGACCTTCTTCCTGAGCTTCGTAATAGGTCCTCTGACAAGGTACGTACTTGTATGTTTAGCTCCCTTTGAAAAAAAAAAAACTCAGTCCGGTGCATTAAGCTCTCGCTATGCACAGGGTCCGGGAAAGGCCAGATAACAAGGATTTATTGTATTAATTTTGATCTTTTTTGTTATAATGGCGTATATACGAGGTGCATGGAGTATAAAGAAGGAAGAACCTAGTACAAGCTATAGTCTTTATATATGATTACCTATATTAGTTAATCCTAGTACAAGATAAATTAAGAAGTTATAAGTCCCAGTGGTCCCGATGACCTTTCCTAGGTTTTAAGTTCTTGGTTTCTCAAGGACCTTAGAAACCAAGCGAAGCGATAATATAGTTAATTTTAACCAAAGGATTCCTTTTGTCCCTTGATTCATTGAACTTACTACACTTTTTCTCTACATATATAGATTGACTCTAAATATATAATCTTACTATTACACAGTACAATTTATGTTTAATAAATTAAAACATACAATATTTTGATATGAATTAATGTTCTTTTATTTGTAATTGGCGAAGGTTTCATCAGCAAGGGTGTTACAAGACACATGCAACTACATAAGAGGCTTGCACAGAGAGGTTGATGATCTTAGTGAGCGCTTATCTCAACTCTTGGCCACTTCAGACACCGCCCAAGCTGCACTTATTAGAAGCCTACTCTTGCAATAGAGACCATATCTTCTCCCTTTTTTCTTTTTTTAATTTCTGTTTCCTTCATATTTTGTTTTTGCATTTCAAATTATTCTTCTAGGAATTTCCGCACACTCTCTCCTTATTAATTTTTTTGACTACTAGAAAATCCTTACGAAGTAGGAGTATCTAAGATCTTTAATTTCTTCAGTTTAAGTTGTGTGCAATAAAAAGGAGAGCATTTTGATTGGAATGATGTTACTTCGGTCATAACGGGTGAAATATTTGGATAAATGGTTGGAAATATGGGCAATTGGTTAAGTTGGGGGTTTCCAGATAATCTTCACAAGTATATATATGTTGTTTGGGAATTCAAATTTGGTAGCTGGAATTCATATTAATTCGGTGGGTTTGTAGTTTGTTTAATATATAAGTATAATTTAGGTATAGTCATCTAGTTACTGAATTTAATTTAGGTACTTCTGTGTAATAAATCAATAATTCGGATATCACTATGAAATTCATCCGACAAGTAATCCAGTTTATCGTTCACTGAGACAAAAAGGTAACTGGCTATAGTTATTATACATACATATGAAGCAAACTACCAACATTACACGCCAACCAATTAAGGATAATAAAGGTCTATAAATGCATATCGAGCACTATATCTTGAATATCTAATAGGAGTATATAGAATTTACCGATACTAAAAGATGAATAAATGAAAGGAGGATGTGGAAAAAAAAAAA